AGGGGAAATTCTTCAACTTTGCTCAACTCAGCTTAGCTTTTTCTAGGAACTCCACAGGGTGTTTCCTGAAGCAGAGAACCAATCGCCTCATTTGGGGAGGGGGTTGTGTAGGCAGGGAGCTCAGGCTATGACCAAAGCCTTCACAAATTATACTATGGCCAATAACCTTTCCTAGGTACATATAACATTCTATCTATCCACGAGTAGATTAATATGCAAAATCTTCTTCGGAACGTCTACATATGAAATATGAGATACCTGCTTGGATGGTTAAAGACATATAATTTTCTGCTTTCCTGTATATGCCAGCTAGGGGGTGTAATATACCAGGCGACTTGTCTTAAAGTGAGTCATCCGAATATGTGCTCCATGTTTGTGTAATTATTTCCTATTTGGATTTATATAAAATTATATGGCAAACTGGGTTTTAAAATGTGAGTCTGTTTTACGACTCCCAGGAATGTCTTTTGAAGCTCCGTGAGGGCTTGGTTTATGGTCTTACGATATCCCAGATTGCGAGCTAACAGGCATCTAGGCACCAGCTCAGCTGGGGGTTTTATAGCCATGACACCCTCCCAATGAGTTTGCTGTCTGTGATCTCTGCAACAAACAGATCACGTGTCACTCAACAGAGAGGGAGGGGGGATGTCGGAGGAATCTGATTTGGGAGGGAGAGATACAATATGGAGGGGTTTGGAGCAAAATGGATGACCTCGTCCATCTCTGTGTGCATGATTGCTACATGGGAGTTAGGAGAGACACCAGTTTTCATCGTCCACAATGTCCCTCCCAACCGGGCCTATGCATCGGAGACTGCTTCCGACATTATCACACGTTACTAAAATTTTAGTTCCCCTTATTTTTAACAGCCTACCATTTCCCCATTTTTATTATATGTGCTGATCTTTTGCCTGCTGCCTTGATTGACCATGTCTCTGCCTTCCACCTTAACTGACCCTGGCCTGTTTACCAACAATGCCTCTGCCTGCTGTCTGGATTGTTTCTAAACCACATTTCTGCCTTCCACCTGAACTGATCCTGGCCTGTTTATCGACTATGCCTCTGCCTACCGTCTGGATTGTCAACCATGTTTATGCCTTCTTCCTGGACTGACCTCAGCCTGTTAATCGACCATGTTTTTTGCCTGCCGCTTGAATTGATCTTTTGCCCTGCTACTGTAGTAGTGGGCTTCAAGATAACGCAAGGGTCTCACATATGTGAGGGGCTTCAGAGTAGAGTTCTGAGTAAAGAAAAACAGTTTTTGGTTTTCTCTCCGGGTTTTGTAATTCCTGGAACAGGGTCTGTTTGTCTGGAGGCTTTGAAGAGATTGGGTGGGATGAAGCCTCTACCCCTGTGCCCCAGTTCTACCTGACCAAGACCCTAAGCCTGATGTTACTGCTGCCTGCTGCCTGGACCAATACTTTGGCTGTACTGACCATATCTCTGCCTGCTGCCTGTACTGACCCAGGACTTTTTATGGACCATGTTCCTGACTGTTGCCTGGACCAATACTTTGGGTATGCTGACCATATCTCCTCTTGCTGTCCGTACTGACCCAAGACTTTTTATCCACCATATTCCTGCCTGCTGCCTGGAAGATTCCTGTGGCTGTTGCCTGCTTCCTGGTCCAATGCTCTCCTCTGCGGACAACTGCTCTATTAAAACCACAGGTAATCTTTTGTTTATCCTCTCTTCAGCTAGGATGTGAAAAAGTCTCACATGTGGTGTTGGCTTGTTCAGGAGGAGTAGCAAAATGTATTTTGAGTATATAAGAAATATCCTGTAAATTGACAACTTTGTGTAAAAATAAAAAAAAAATATAAAATACTTTTTCATTTTCTTTCCACATTTTCTAAAAACTTTTGGGAAAAAATGGAGAAAATAACTTTTTTTATTTCTTAATTTCCAAAAAATTATGATAAAAAAATGACAACTTCAAAAAACTCCCCATGCCTCTTATGAAATACGTCGGACTGTCTACTTTGCAAAAAAGGGTCATTTGGGGGATATCTGAACTGTTCTGACATTCTTGGACCTCAAGAAATTAGATTGTCTGTCAGTACTTCAGGATTGATCCATTTTCAGATATATACAGTACCATAGTTTGTGAACTCTATAACTTTCCGACAGCCTAAATAATAAATACTAATTTGGGTTATTTTCACCAAAGACATGTAGTAGAATACATTTTGGCCTAAATTTATGAAGAACAATTATTTATTTGCAAACGTTTATAACAGAAACAAAGAAAACCTGTTTTATTTTCAAAATTTTTGGTATTTTTTGGTAAATTTAGCAAAAAATAAAAACCCCAGCGGTGATTAAATACCCCCAAAATAAAGCTCTAGTTGTGTGAAGAAAATGATAAAATTTTAGTTTGGGTACAATGTTGTATGACCGCGCAATTGTCGGTCATAGTGTGAGAGCGCTGAAACCTGAAAATTGACCTGGGCAGGAAGCGGGGTAAAAGTGCCCGGTATGGAAGTGGTAAAGGCACTCACTTTTATCAATGCTATCAATTCAACAGAAAACTAAGTTGGGTTGATGTTGGTTTCATCTGTTTAGCATAAAAAATGCATGCTGCAATTTGCATTTAAGAAATACCCAATTGTATGTTTCCTGACATCTCCATGTCAGCACAGCCAGGTAAGGCCCCCCCCATGCTTCCAGGACCTAACTCATAAATTTGAGCCCAACCACAGCCTCAGCGTGCCTCTTTTTTCCTCCCATGTGCAGGACCTAGGTGTGCTCATCTACCTGGCTGGTCTAAGGGGCTGTCTGTCTGTCTGTCCATGCATGTGGGTTTCAGCTGGACATGGTCCCTGGTGTGCCAGCTAAATAACCCATAATCCAGGGAGCCCCGCTTGGGGCTGGAGAACTTATTTGATGCCAGTACAACTTAATAATTAACCATTTGCCCTCCTGAATATTTACCCCCCTTCCTGACCAGGCCATTTTTTGCGATGCGGCACTGCGTTACTTTAACTGACAATTGCGCGGTCATGCAACGCTGCACTCAAATTAAATTTATGTCCTTTTTTTTTACACAAATAGAGATTTCTTTCAGTGGTATTTGATCTCCTCTGCATTTTTCTTTTTTGCGCTATAAAAAAAAAAGACCGACAATTTTGAGAAAAAAAACAATATTTTTGACTTTTTGCTATAAAACATATCCAGTCAAAAAAATTTAAAAAAATCAAATTTTACCATAAATTTAGGCCAAAATGTATTCTGCTACATGTCTTTGCTAAATAAAATATTAGTAAATTAATTGGTTTACGTGACAGTTATAGCATTTATAAATGGCGGTATATATATATTGGGATATATATATATATATTTCTTTTTACTAGTAATTGTGGTGATCAGCGACTTATAGCGGGACTGCGGCGAGCATTCTGACACTGGGGGTAACTGACTTGGTGTCACTAACATCCCCAGTGACACGAATACAGTGATCAGTGCTAAAAAAAAGCACTGACACTGTACTAATGGCACTGGGCAGGAAGGGGTTAACATGAGGGGCAATCAAAGGGTTAACTGTGTGCTGTTTTACTAAGTGCTGTGTTCGTGTTCTTCACAGTAAGCACACTGCTTTGGATGGCTGTGCTCTGCAGAGCCATCCAAAGCAGTGTGCATGAGCTGACAGAGGAAAACTGTTTTGTTTACAAACATTTCTCCTCCCCGTCGGAGATGCTGGCAATCACCGGGCACCTGGCGAGTAATCACTGGCCCGGGACCCGGTGATTGACAGCCGCAGGCACGAATGGCGGTGCAGGTAGGGTGCACGTGCGCTTTACATGCGCCCCCTACCTGGAAATGCAAAATCACTTTATATATATGTGATTTTGTGCACCCGTGCCGCCCTGTAACAGTATTTCTGCTATAGGACGGTCGGGAAGCAGTTAACAAATCATTTTCATCATGTCCTGTTCTCTGGCAGGGCAAGGTTTGGTTCATTTGAGGAGTGTGAAGCATTTTCCCTCTCTTGTGTGACTAGTTAGTTCCCAGCTGTCCTGACATGGAGCTGTCAGGAAAATGGAAAATTACGGACAGATACTTTCCGTAATTTTCTTTCCCAGACGAGCTCCATGTCAGCACAGTTTCCACCCAGCTTGGTAGGACTTGTTACAGAAAGCTGAGGCTGCAGGCGGGATCACATTTATGAGTTAGGTCCTGGAAGCATGGGGGGGGGGCGGGGCGGGGCTCTTACCCAGCTGTGCTGACATGTAGCCCGCCAGGAAAGAAAAATTACAGTAAATATCTGTCATTCAATTTTCCGTTTTAGTAATGGGGACTGCCCAATCAAATGCATGCAACATTGAAACATTTGGATCTGCATGCAATCTTATGTATTCAACATAAAATGTTTGCCAAAAAACGCCTAAAACCAATCCCCTTACTTAGTTACATATTATTTGCATGCTGTGCAAACTAAGTGAATATTGTTGGGAGGGGTGAATGTATTATTTTATGAGTGAAAACACATCCATATGAGCCATGGTGAAAAAAAGTCAACAAGACCAGCGATTTACTGTTGTTTTATATACCGTATTTTTCGCTCCATAAGACATACTTTTTTCCCCCAAAAAAAGGGGGGAAAATGTCAATGCGTCTTACGGAGCGAATGTAAAGCGGCCGGTCCGGTATTTCTGCCACCACCATGTCAGAATATCAGGCCGGCCGCTCAGCTCTTCTCTCCTGCAGAACCTTACCTGTTCCTCACTGCAGTCTTCCCGTGGCGGCTTCTGTGACAGCAGGTGCCCACTGCGCATGTGCGAGAAGTGCTGCGCTTTGTGAATGGTCCGGCGTCTTCTGGGACACATGCCAGGTCCCAGAAGGCTCCGAGCCATTCACAAAGCGCAGCGCTTCTCGCGCATGCGCAGTGGGCACCCGGCTGTCACAGAAGCCGCCGCGGGAAGAAGAAGGAAGGACAACTCTGCGGAAGTGGGAGCCGGGTACCTGTCAAATTCAGGTACCCGCTCCCCCTCCCTCCGCAGGTCCGCAGTCTCTGGTAATCTCCTTTACTGTCTGCAGTCTCTGGTAATCTCCTTTACTGTCTGCAGTCTCTGGTCATCCCCTGCACTGTCTGCAGTCTCTGGTCATCTGTACTATGTCCACAGTTTCTGGTCATTCCCTGTACTATGTCCGCAGTCTCTGGTCATTCCCTGTACTGTGTCCGCAGTCTCTGGTCATCTCCTGTACTGTGTCCGCGGTCTCTGGTCATCTCCTGTACTGTGTCCGCAGTCTCTGGTCATCTCTTGTACTGTGTCCGCAGTCTCTGGTCATCTCTTGTACTGTGTCCGCAGTCTCTGGTCATCTCCTGTACTATGTCCGCAGTCTCTGGTCATCTCCTGTACTATGTCCGCAGTCTCTGGTCATCTCCTGTACTGTGTCCGCAGTCTCTGGTCATCTCCTGTACTATGTCCGCAGTCTCTGGTCACCTCCTGTATTATGTCTGCAGTCTCTGGTCATCTGCTGTACTGTGTCCACAGTCTCTGGTAATATTTACTGTCTGCAGTCTCTGGTCATCCCCTGCACTGTCTGCAGTCTCTGGTCATCTGTACTATTTCCACAGTCTCTGGTCATTCCCTGTACTATGTCCACAGTCTCTGGTAATCTCCTTTACTGTCTGCAGTCTCTGGTCATCTGTACTATGTCCACAGTCTCTGGTCATTCCCTGTACTATGTCTGCAGTCTCTGGTCATTCCCTGTACTATGTCCGCAGTCTCTGGTCATTCCCTGTACTGTGTCTGCAGTCTCTGGTCATCCCCTGTACTGTGTCCGCAGTCTCTGGTCATTCCCTGTACTGTGTCCGCAGTCTCTGGTCATCTCCTGTAGTGTGTCCGCAGTCTCTGGTCATCTCCTGTACTGTGTCCGCAGTCTCTGGTCATCTCCTGTACTGTGTCCACAGTCTCTGGTCATCCCCTGTAGTGTGTCCGCAGTCTCTGGTCATCTCCTGTACTGTGTCCGCAGTCTCTGGTCATCTCCTGTACTGTGTCCGCAGTCTCTGGTCATCCCCTGTACTGTGTCCGCAGTCTCTGGTCATCTCCTGTACTGTGTCCACAGTCTCTGGTCATCCCCTGTACTGTGTCCGTGTGTTCCTCCGTGGTGTCCTCCCATGTACTCCATTCTTGTTTAATGTTTTCCTTATTGTAGATGTGTCAACAAAAATGTTAGCATGTGCTATAGATTTCAGTAGGTCTTTAGCTGACACTCTGGGATTCTTCTTTACCTCATGCAGCATTCTGCGCTGTGCTCTTGCAGTCATTTTTACAGGACGACCACGCCTAGGGAGAGTAGCAACAGTGCTAAACGTTCTCCATTTGTAGACAGTCTGTCTTACCTTGGACACATGAACATCAAAGCTTTTGGAGATACTTTTGTAACCCTTTCCAGCTTCATGCAAGTCAACAATTCTTGATCGTAGGTCTTCTGAGAGCTCTTTTCTGCGAGGCAGGGTTCACATCAGACAGTGCTTCTTGAAACCAGTAAACCCAAAACAGGTGTGTGTTTTTTAAGGGCAGGACAGCTGTCAGCAACACATCCAATATCATTACACTGATTGGAGTCAAGGTTGGCTCACTCCGGGCTCCAATTAGCTCTGGGAGAAGTCATTAAGCTAGGGCCTCACATACTTTTTCCTCCCTGCACTGTGAATGTTTACATGTTATGTGCAATTAAACCATGGCAACATCTGATGTTTGTGTAGTATTATGTTCAGCAGACTGTGTTCTTCTATTGTTGTGACTTAGATGACGTTTAGAGCACATTTTATGCCCAATTCATGCAAAACTTCACGTAATCCCAAGGGGTTCACATACTTTTTCTTGCAACTGTATCTATCTATCCAGGGCTTTTTTTCTCAGAGAATAGGATCAGGAACACCCCACCATTTTAGTCACCCCTTGTCTCCGCCCCCTACCCGTCATTGAGCACCTCCCTTTTATAGAATACAGAACCCAGTATAATTTTGTGGTGCTAAGTAATTTGTATGTAATGTGTTAATGATAACAAGGAAAGCAGTAAACTACAGTAAAAGCCCTGCAGCCAGTAACAATAGATCCCCCGCACAACAATAGACCCCCCAGCAACAATGGACCTCCCCTCAACACAATACCACCCCAGCAACAATAGATCCACCCAAGCAATTCTAGACCCCTGCAGCAAAAACAGATCTCCCAGTAGCCAGCATCAATAGACTCCTCCTTTAACATTAAATCCCTGCCAGCAACATTAGACCCCCCCCAAGCAACAATAGACCTCCATGCAAAAATAATTTCCCACCAGTGAAAATAGACCCTCCAGCACACCCCAGGACCCTTTTCGATTACATACAATCAGTGCTTGAGGTGCCGGAACTGCATTCCCCAATGTGCCCGCTGAATAAAAGCCAATCTATCTATCTATCTATCTATCTATCTATTTAGTTAGATCCCTGTTTTTATGGGGGGTTTTTTAAAAGGAAATTGTGCCATGCTTCTTGTCCTGGAGTTACAGCAAGAAGTAAGTGTATACCTCCCTAAAGTGAGAAGAAATCTTCTCTTAGTTGTCAGAGCAGATATTACCTTTTGAAGATATAAAGAACAACTACAACTTTTATTTTAATTTTTTTTTTTTATTACCATTTTATTAACTGCTTTATATTATATTTTAAAACATGTAAAATGTTTATTACAAGATATATTTAGGACCCTCTATTTGGAAACCAGTTTGAATTTTTGAATATGAAAGCCCAGCACTATCCTTACATTTTCCTGCCAACAACGTTGATCCATTAGAACGTTGCTATCTTTGCTAGTAGAATTGGAGGAGTTGGTGTCCCTCCTCTGAGTTATTTAGGACTTCTAGTAAAGCACCTGTCTGAAAGAAAGAGATTTCACAAGGCACTGACCTTGATACTATTTCACCTGCTGTCTTCAGGTTGTAAATGTGAAATACTCATGTGAATTAAAAGAAATTAAAAAAAAAAATCACACTAATCATAGGAAATAAACAATATTTAAAAACACCATAAAAGACCTGGGTATTCACAATAAGAATAAAATATTGCAATACATATACTAATACACCCAATAGTCATAAAAGTGTGTGTAGTGAAAGTGTAGTGTGCTTTAGCTTAGAAAAAAGTGTTAAGTGCTGTTAAATTCAAAACCCATCTCCAGGCAAAAAAAAAAAAAAAAAGAGATTCCAGTGCCCACCCTCTGCTCCTAGCTAATCAACCTTTAAAAAAATAAAATCTATTCTGAAAGTACTTACTTGAATGCCTGGTCATGTGGCTGAACATTGCTTCCCCTGGCCTTGGCCCTGCAGCCAGTAGACAATTCCCAATGAGCACTACAATAATGGCCCTCCTACTCTACAGAGGAGAAGAATGAAGATATGGAGATACGTACTGTATTTCAGAGTTTCCTTTTAGTTTTTTTTTTTTTTTTTCATGATGCGTGATTAGTTATGGGCAGGTGGTGAGGGAAAGAAAATGATTTCAAGTATTATTGCAAATTATTGAAAGTATTTTTTCTTAATGCCCAGAGATATGCTTGAAATATCACAATTACAATGTTCAGCCATCGTAGTGTTAAACTGCTTGATTATTACCCAAATAGTATGGAAAAAAAGTATGCTTGACATGTTAGGGCACATATACTTAGTGATACATGAAAGATTGTCAGAAAGGAAAACTGAAAATAACTCAAACGGAAAGGGAAGAATAAGTGACAACAGAAAGAGATGAGACCGGAGGTATAAAGGAGACATTCAGCACTGGGTTTTCGAAGGGGAATATGGCTATAGGAAAGGATGGACTAATTTGTCCAAGGGGAAAACACATATGGGGTAGATTTACTAAACTGGAGCACTCAGAATCTGGTGCAGCTGTGCATGGTAGCCAATCGCGCTTCTAACTTCAGATTCTTCAATTAAAGTGTTACTAAACCCCATGTTAAAATCCTCTGCCATGTGTAAAAAGGCTGTTTGGTCCTTTTTACTCTGCCCCTCCTCTTGCTCAAATGTCCACCTGATAAGACAGACTGAACCTGTAGTCACATACACATGCTAAAAAGTGTGTATTGCTAGTCCTTTTTTTTTTTTTCTCTTGGAGATGTGCATGTGATCAGCACAGGGCTAATCAACACTGTCCAGACAGAAGTCAGGGGTTGTGCATCCTCTTAGAGCAGAAATAAAACTCCTCCTACAAGCTTTAACCAGTGTTCTGCTGTGTCACAAGACTGCTCTCAGGCTTGGTTCACATCTGTGCGGGTTGGTGCCGCTACGGATCCATATGAAAATCCGTGCAGCCGTACCACCCGCACAGAGGAATGCAGACCTGCAGGCGGGTACTATTAGTTCTAATGGCACGCCGCCCACACTAGAAAACGCAACCGTACTGGGAACCGAGGTTCCCGTGCGTGCTGCGTTTTCAGAAGAAGTGCAGGGACTTCTTCCCTGCATGTCACAGAGCATGGGAGTCCATTCAAATGAATGGGCTCTCATGTCCGCACAAAACTTGGCCCGCACGACCACATACAGTATATGTGAACCAGGGGTAACTGCTGATGAGAACATTTATTTTGCAGTTTATATTTACTAAAATAATTGTATCTCCATGTTCTGTGTACTGTGGGAGACCAGATATAATGAATTCAGAGTCCGGGGTATCGTAACACTTTAAGCTTTGGCAATAAAACCTGGAAGCTAATTGGTTTCTATGCAGAGTTGCACCAGATTTTGCACTCACACAATTTTAGTAAATAACCCCCATATGTGTCATAACAAATCTGATGTGCCTTGAACTAGATAGACTCCCAGAGATCTATACTGCATTGTGCTCCCTGATACTTACTGCAAAAGAAAAGCCAGATCAAATATACAGATTACAGAGGAAATAGCAGGCAGGTGAGCAGAAGCCCCTCAAATACCAAACACCATAGGGATGCCCACAGTGCAACACACAGTTTAAGAACATCTAAGTATATATATCCATTTTCCAAATCTAGTAGTAACCTTGAGTACTGCATATCAGAAATAGATGAGCAAGATGGTCTTATTTCAAGCACATATTTGTAATCGGACTCTGCAGATCCCCTTTACGTTTGAATGTCTTTGAAACTCAATCTTCTTTCAAAAGTAGATCAATAAGAAATGTGACAATGTGCTT